CTGATTTTTGTCAAGTTCGAAGCATTTTTCCTAATCTGAACCTTTACAGAGAACAGAAGCTCATGGATTTATTAGAGGAAGCAGTGAATTTCTGGAATAGTTCCCTTTAAAATGTAATTTTAATCAGTGATTTGGCCTTAAATCAGTGCCTGTGCACCCAACCACTTCACAATATGTGATAATTTTTCAACAGGGGTTTTAGTGTCACAGACTACACTTCCAGCCCAATTGTTTCAGCAAGTGGTGATTACTTGCTCAATATTGCATTCCTGTATTGTTTGTGGGGCCATAATTCTGCAGCTGCTAAAACTTTCCAAGTCTGTTGTACATTTGCAAGAAAAATGTCTTTTGGGTGACTTATTTATTCAAGGTTTTAGTTTTTGATGATGTTGTTTGATATTCTTCTGTTACTTTCAAACTAATTATTTTCTCAATTCTGTTTCAGCTTTGTCAGGTTTGATGAGTACTATTTAAGTCAGTAAAGAGTGTATTTTAGAAGCTGAAAACGTTTTGGAAAATTTAAAAGATCATCCCAAAATAAGTTTCTTTAATAAAGTCTACTGCACAAATAGAGCATTCCAGGCACTAAGGACTGGTTCCTTCTCAGAAGGTTCTAAGGCATTAGAGAATATTATCGGTTGTGTTCCCACACCATCTACTCAATGGTGCTATGCCTTTGCTAAGACTTTGGAGGCATCTTATCAATTTCTCCCCCCATCAAAGCATCCTAGTTCTCATCGTAGTTCTAAAAAGGGTGGAAGTGATTTAGTTCTTAGGGGTTTTCGCTGCATCTTACAGAATATTCAGGATAGGAGACTTTCGCAATCACCTGTAACTTTTGCTGCTGTGGTCCATCATGCACTCTGTTCTTCATTGTGGATTGGTAGATATTATCTACATCGACACATGCCTAGAGAAGCAAGATGTACCTAGCAGCTGAATTAGTTCTTGCTCTCAAGCTGGGACTTGCAACAAGGTGTGTGGCAATAATGCTTTCTTTTCATCATTTTTTTTTTTTAAACTCTCAATTTACTGGTGTGATAAATTTTCCAGAGCCGCAGAATTTATTTGTCAACTGGCTTTGGTAGACTTATTGACTGAAAATGTAGATGAAGCTGTGGCAAAGGTATCAGATCTGAAATGTATTTTAGATGATAAATACATTCCTTCTGAAGATAATGATAGGTAAGGAATTTTTTTTTTTTTTTGCTTACCTCAAAAAAATTTTGGGAATTTAATAATTTTAATAATCTGCTTTCTTTTCTTTTTCAGGGTGACAGTACTTTTCAATTGGATGAGGCAATTTCCCCAAAAAAACTACTGCCGGACCCCAAACATACTGATACTCTTGGGTGCAGTCCTGCTCTAGAAAAGAATAAAAATTTTGAAATCCCTACTTCTAAACATATTTTATCTTGCAAGTGTTACATGTGCAGTAATGTTTTGTTCAGATTGTGTGGTTGATGTTTGGCCGCATACAAGCTAAGTTTTATGCACTTCGCTTTTTTGTACACGAGTCTCATGCAACTTACAAACAAATTGTAAGATCTTGTCCCTTGCCTCTCCTTTGCATGTTTATTGGTCTTTTGACATGTAATCTATTTTTTGCTTTTAAATTTTTTCAGTTTAAATCTGCTGTTTTGACTGTCAAAAGGCTTTGTGCAAATGCACTATCACAAGGACCCTTTTTTACAGCAGCACCAGCTGACATCAGCTTTAATTGGTGCAAAACTTGATTTTGTTGATATGCTTGTTATGTATGGGAAGGACAAAGATGCTCATAGAGAAAATGAGCGTATTTTTAGTCTACTAAAAAATTTTGTTCACTGATGAAAAAAACCTGACAGTGGACACAAAGGGCAGCGAATCTGCATCACTGAGATTTCAGAACAGGCTAAAGAAAAGGCCAAGTGTAAGTAGACAAGCTACAAGTAATACATTTATGCCTGAGACATCCCTTTTTGTCAACTGACTTAACATTTTATTTGTTTTTTTCAGCTCCACGAGTTCTTAAGACGACACCTAAAGCTAACATAAGTCCAAAAACCCTCACCACACATTTTCATTGATAAGACCCCTGAGGCAAAGGAGCTTCCCATCACACCGGTTGGGCCAGGAAAGAGAAGACCACCATTACAAAACTAATTAAAGCTCCCCAAACATCATTTGAAGCCATTAACTGATAAGCAGTTCTATTCTCCAAAAGTCCTAGAGATCTTGAAAATCTCATTTGGGAGTGATGATGATAGTGATATTTTTGTCACTGTGCCTTCAAAGGAAAATGTTTCGCATACTCCCCACAGACTGGAGAAGGCATCTTGTAACAAACAAGACTTTATTGAGGAGGCTTCTGTCTCCAGTTGTCTTCCTGGCGGTCAGGAAACACAAGCAGATGGTATCAAGAATGTCCAAGCCAAGAAGTTATCAAAAGTAGTACAATCATCGAAGTCAAAGGCTGTGAGTGATGAAATTTTTATTGTAAGTGAAAAGTCTTCATTTTAAAGCAGCCTACCAAATCATTACCTGTTGCGAAACCTCCACCATCTGAACGTAGGATTTCCAAAACATTCCCAAACTGCTGAGAAATCTTCTCGAAGGGTACCTGCCTCAGTTCCCAAGGTGAGGGCTTCAGGAACTGACCGTGTGCCACCTAGTAAGGAAATCAAAGTATCTGTGAAAGAAACTACCAAAAAAACTGAAACCAGGCTAGATCATTGCCACCTAGGGGCAACTTTAAATGCATGAAGACATAAACGTCAGAAGCAAAGGAAGGAAATTCAAATGGTACGGATCGCATAAAGTTGAGTAAAGCATTTACAGATGTTTCAGAGGGGAATGCACGCCAAACCCGGCAACGAAAGCATTTATAGTTGTTTGTCTAAAATTTTTCATTTTTCTAAATTTAAATTTGATGGCTTTTTATGATGAAAGACTGTTTTTTACTTATATATTGTGTGTTTTGTCTTGGTTTTTTTAAAATGAAAAATTGTAATTTCAAGAAATCAATTTTTAAGTGGTTTAGTTACATTTCTCTTATAAAAAAAAATGAATAAATGAATGATTCTCATAAGCTTTATTGCAAGTTTTTTTAGCATACACACAAGGGAAAACTAAGTGGGTTAAAGTACATAATGCCTATTGTAGCAGTTGCCACGAAAGGCGATCAATTCAGACTTGGGAGGAACACCATGATCTTACCGACTGAAGCCGTAAGTGAACATAAGACGCCGTTAAAACTTTAATGAGACGACACACATGGTTGGAGCTCCTTGCACAAACTTTCAAATGGGTTTTCAAGCTGGGGGAAAAAGATTTCTCTGACGGTCTAACACAGACTTCAACACAGCTATGCACACCTTTTGGGTTAAAGCGTTCTCTCTTCGGGAGAAAACATCATACTTCATGTCAGGTGATGCAACTCTCAGTCCTATTTTTAAATGGTAATCAGCCAGCACACACACTTCCACAACACCTTGGGATGGATAAACAAATCCGCCACATGTCTTTCGTAATAGGACTAAAGTTGGGTTGTCTTGAACATATGACATCTGAAGACCTTCGATGCACTGGTTGCACTGGAGTACATCTGCAACTCTCTTCACAGTGTGAACTAAAACTAGTTGAGAAGCTCTAAATCGCTGCAGCTCATTTTGGAGAAGGATGGGGTAAAAGTGAGGGATTGAGGTAGAGATGGAGTGTTCTCGGGTTTAAAGACGGGACGGTTTATTTCCAGTCCACTTTTCCCGAGCATTGGCTACGTCCTGGCTATCCAACCACCAATAGCTCTCTACTCTCACAATTTATCTGACAAAGAAACCCTTCTTCTTGTAGCAATAAAGCATAGGTGTTGGCGAACTTGATGGCAGAGGGACGATCTCCCAGTTGAGTCTGCACCGGATCGCCAAAATCAACAGTTCCAGACCTTTCATTTTTAGTTCAGCAATTAAATTTTAAAGGCATTTTCTTCACCAGCTCCAATAGAGTCAGCAGATTCATAAAAAAGCAAACAAATGGTGCTTTGCAATTGGTTGCAAATATGCCCTGACCTGCCCTATCTTTAAAACAAACAAATAGTTTAAACAGTCAACAATGGCCCTTTTCCATTCAGGAGTCACTTCTTTGTTAAAAGGACCACAGTCAAAAATTTGTAGTAGTTTAGTGATTGTTCGATAAACCACAGTTGACTCACTTCCAGAAAACTGGGGCAGCTGTAGGGATTTACCACAACACTCAATTGAATTGGGAACATCCTCAGTAAATAATTTGGGGAAAACAATCTTTTTCGCATTAAACTCTTATCCCCGTACCATGTAGCTGTTTGATCAAGTTGTTCTGAGCTTCCTGCCTGAGTTTCTTGAACTTTAACCAACTCAGTAAAATATTTCCAGCTTATGGCGCCCCCTCTCTCATCTACCATGAGACCCCCTGATGCCCAAGTGTGCCTCAAAAGGTCGACAATACTATGTGGATCAAAAAGCACATGAACATTAACAAGACCATCCGCTGGGTGAGGAAATGCAGTATTAGGACTAGGCAATTCCTCAAAGGAAATGCCCCGGCTTTCAACTGTTTGCCTGCTGCTCACACTTGCGTCAATGACAACAGCCACAACCATACTGCCCATGTTATAGACTCTCCACAACATTCTAATAGTACATTTGCTCTCTCTTCAGTGATAGAGTATCAATTAAAAAGTACGCCAAAGGAATTTCCATTTCTTTTTACCATCCATGGGTACAAGCATGAAGAAAAGAGCACTTTGAGCAAGTGGTAATTTTCACTATAGTTCTGTACTTCTAGATCACCTGTGGTTCCATAATCAATGTGGCCCCTTATTTCAGTTTCATCACACGAAGAGGTTGCGAAAAGGTCTACTCTCCCATGATTACGCATGTATTTAAATATGTATGCTCAGTTTTCTGTACTTCATCCTTCAGCATGAGGAAAGCTTCACTGCTCCAGCCAGGTAGTCCAAGGCCATATTGTACCAGGTTCTTGATATGGATGGAGTTGGCATGGTAAGTAATACAGTTCTTTAATCATGTGATAGGCTTCAACAGAATAAAATAGTAAAGTCTTGGCGAAAGCTTTCATTAGAGGCGGACACTTCCCCCTCTTCTTCGATGCTTTTCGGTCATGTACTAGAGGTTCGTTGAGAGAATGCACTAAGAGCGCTCTTATGGCACTGAGGCTCTACTGTAAGGAGGTCTTGAGTCTCAAGATACTAACGACCTCTGCAAGGGTATTGGGGGTTATTTTTGATGCAGGTTCTGGACTTCTTCTTCTTGCCTCTGCCTCAGTAATTGATGTAGAGCCCATAGAGGCTTTTTGTTTTCACAGGCTTTAGCCATTTCTCAATGGTTCTCATATTTTTCCTGATTATTACTTTAATCTTATGTATTCATTACCAAACTTTATTTGAATAAATTATTGTAAGCTCGATTAAATCTTCTCTTGAGGCATTTATCAATTGTAAGTTGTTCTAATAAGATGAGGTATTTCACTCCAGTTTGTGAGCAGCTCTTCAGGTATTTTTAAATTTTACCACATTTATTTGTTCAAACAACAATCAAGACATCATCTAACACTGCAGATAGATATGGCAGGTCACAGATGATGTCATTGATTGTGAAGACTTGGATGTGGTAGAAATTTCAACTAATGCTGAAGGAGCTGCCTCACAAACTGGAGTGAAATACGCTCATCTTATTAAGCAACTTACAATTGATAAAAATGCCTCAAGAGAAGATTTAATCGAGCAATACAATAATTTATTCAAAGAAAGGATGGTAATGAAGAAAAAGATTAAAGTAATAAAGAGGAAAAATATGAGAACCATTGAGAAAATGGCTAAAGCCTGTGAAAACAAAAAAGCCTCTATGGGCTCTACATCAATTACTGAGGCAGAGGCAAAGAAGAAGAAGTCAGAACCTGCATCAAAAATAACCCCCAATACCCTTGCAGAGGTCGTTATGTATCTTGAGACTCAAGACCTCCTTACAAGTAGAGCCATCAGTGTCATAAGAGCGCTCTTAGGTCATTCTCTCAACGAACCTCTAGTACATGACCGAAAAGCATCGAAAGAAGAGGGGGAAGTGTCGCCTCTAATGAAAGCTTTCGCCAAGACTTTACTATTTTATTCTGTTGAAGCCTATCACATGATTAAAGAACTGTATTACTTACCAATGCCAACTCCATCCATATCAAGAACCTGGTACAATATGGGCCTTGGACTACCTGGCTGGAGCAGTGAAGCTTTCCTCATGCTGAAGGATGAAGTACAGAAAACTGAGCATACATATTTAAATACATGCGTAATCATGGGAGAGTATGACCTTTTCGCAACCTCTTCGTGTGATGAAACTGAAATAAGGGGCCACATTGATTATGGAACCACAGGTGATCTAGAAGTACAGAACTATAGTGAAAATTTACCACTTGCTCAAAGTGCTCTTTTCTTCATGCTTGTACCCATGGATGGTAAAAAGAAATGGAAAATTCCTTTGGCGTACTTTTTAATTGATACTCTATCACCTGAAGAGAGAGCAAATGTACTATTAGAATGTTTGTGGAGAGTCTATAACATGGGCAGTATGGTTGTGGCTGTTGTCATTGACGCAAGTGTGAGCAGCAGGCAAACAGTTGAAAGCCTGGGCATTTCCTTTGAGGAATTGCCTAGTCCTAATACTGCATTTCCTCACCCAGCGGATGGTCTTGTTAATGTTCATGTGCTTTTTGATCCACATAGTATTGTCGACCTTTTGAGGCACACTTGGGCATCAGTGGGTCTCATGGTAGATGAGAGAGGTGGCGCCATAAGCTGGAAATATTTTACTGAGTTGGTTAAAGTTCAAGAAACTCAGGCAGGAAGCTCAGAACAACTTGATCAAACAGCTACATGGTACTGGGATAAGAGTTTAATGCGAAAAAGATTGATTTCCCAATTATTTACTGAGGATGTTGCCAATTCAATTGAGTGTTGTGGTAAATCCCTACAGCTGCCCCAGTTTTCTGGAAGTGAGTCAACTGTGTTGTTTATCAGAACAATCACTAAACTACTACAAATTTTTGACTGTGGTCCTTTGAACAAAGAAGTGACTCCTGAATGGAAAAGGACCATTGTTGACTGTTTAAACTATTTGTTTGTTTTAAGAGATAGGACAGGTCAGGGCATATTTGCAACCAATTGCAAAGCACCATTTGTTTGCTTTTATATGAATCTGCTGACTCTATTGGAGCTGGTGAAGAAAGTGCCTTTAAATTCAATTGCTGAACTAAATATGAATGGTCTGGAACTGTTGATTTTGGCGATCCGGTGCAGACTCAACTGGGAAGATCGTCCCTCTGCCATCAAGTTCGCCAACACCTATGCTTTATTGCTACAAGAAGAAGGGTTGTCTTTGTCAGATAATATTGTGAGAGTAGAGAGCTATTGGTGGTTGGATAGCCAGGACGTAGCCAATGCTCGGAAGAGTGGACTGGAAATAAACCGTCCCGTCTTTAAACCTGAGAACACTCCATCTCTACCTCAATCCCTCACTTTTTACCCCATCCTTCTCCAAAATGAGCTGCAGCGATTTAGAGCTTCTCAACTAGTTTTAGTTCACACTGTGAAGAGAGTTGCAGATGTACTCCAGTGCAACCAGTGCATCGAAGGTCTTCAGATGTCATATGTTCAAGACAACCCAACTTTAGTCCTATTACGAAAGACATGTGGCGGATTTGTTTATCCATCCCAAGGTGTTGTGGAAGTGTGTGTGCTGGCTGATTACCATTTAAAAATAGGACTGAGAGTTGCATCACCTGACATGAAGTATGATGTTTTCTCCCGAAGAGAGAACGCTTTAATCCAAAGTGTGTGCATAGCTGTGTTGAAGTCTGTGTTAGACCGTCAGAGAAATCTATTTCCTCAGCTTGACAACCATTTGAAAGTTTGTGCAAGGAGCTCCAACCATGTGTGTCGTCTCATTAAAGTTTTAACGGCGTCTTATGTTCACTTACGGCTTCAGTCGGTAAGATCATGGTGTTCCTCCCAAGTCTGAATTGATCGCCTTTCGTGGCAACTGCTACAATAGGCATTATGTACTTTAAGCCAACTTAGTTTTCCCTTGTGTGTATGCTAAATAAAACTTGCAATAAAGCTTATGAGAATCATTCATTTATTTTTTATAAAGAGAAATGTAACTAAACCACTTAAAAATTGATTTCTTGAAATTACAATTTTTCATTTTAAAAATACCAAGACAACACACACAATATATAAGTAAAAAACAGTCTTTCATCATAAAAAGCCATCAATTAACTTTAGAAAAATGAAACATTTTAGACAAACAACTATAAATGCTTTCGTTGCCGGGTTTGGCGTGCATTCCCCTCTGAAACATCTGTAAATGCTTTACTCAACTTTATGCGATCCGTACCATTTGAATTTCCTTCCTTTGCTTCTGACGTTGATGTCTTCATGCATTTAATGTTGCCCCTAGGTGGCAATGATCTAGCACTGGTTTCAGTTTTTTTGGTAGTTTCTTTCACAGATACTTTGATTTCCTTACTAGGTGGCACACGGTCAGTTCCTGAAGCCCTCACCTTGGGAACTGAGGCAGGTACCCTTCGAGAAGATTTCTCAGCAGTTGGCAATGTTTTGGAAGTCCTACGTTCAGATGGTGGAGGTTTCGCAACAGGTAATGATTTGGTAGGCTGCTTTAAAGATGAAGACTTTTCACTTACAATAAAAGTTTCATCACTCACAGCCTTTGACTTCGATGATTGTACTACTTTTGATAACTTCTTGGCTTGGACATTCTTGATACCATCTGCTTGTGTTTCCTGACCGCCAGGAAGACAACTGGAGACAGAAGCCTCCTCAATAAAGTCTTGTTTGTTACAAGATGCCTTCTCCAGTCTGTGGGGAGTATGCGAAACATTTTCCTTTGAAGGCACAGTGACAAAAATATCACTATCATCATCACTACCAATGAGATTTTCAAGATCTCTAGAGACTTTTGGAGAATAGAACTGCTTATCAGTTAATGGCTTCAAATGATGATTGGGAGCTTTAATTAGTTGTTGTAATGGTGGTCTTCTCTTTCCTGGCCCAACCGGTGTGATGGGAAGCTCCTTTGCCTCAGGGGTCTTATCAATGAAAATGTGTGGTGAGGTTCTTGGACTTATGTTAGCTTTAGGTGTCGTCTTAAGAACTCGTGGAGCTGAAAAATACAAATAAAATGTTAAGTCAGTTGACAAAAGGCATGTCTCAGGCATAAATGTATTACTTAGTAGCTTGTCTACTTACACTTGGCCTTTTCTTTAGCCTGTTCTGAAATCTCAGTGATGCAGATTCGCTGCTCCTTTGTGTCCACTGTCAGGTTATTTTCATCAGTGAACAAATTATTTAGTAGACTAAAAATACGCTCATTTTCTCTATGAGCATCTTTGTCCTTCCCATACATAACAAGCATATCAACAAAATCAAGTTTTGCACCAATTAAAGCTGATGTCAGCTGGTGCTGCTGTAAAAAGGCTCCTTGTGATAGTGCATTTGCACAAAGCCTTTTGACAGTCAAATCAGCAGATTTAAACTGAAAAATTAAGAGCAAAAACTAGATTACATGTCAATAAGACCAATAAACATGCAAAGGAGAGGCAAGGCACAAGATCTTACAATTTGTTTGTAAGTTGCATGAGACTCGTGTACAAAAAAGCGAAGTGCATAAATCTTAGCTTGTATGCGGCCAAACATCAACCACACAATCTGAACAGAGACATTACTGCACATGTAACACTTGCAAGATAAACTATGTTTAGAAGTAGGGATTTCAAAATTTTCATTCTTTTCTAGAGCAGGACTGCACCCAAGAGTATCAGTATGTTTGGGATCCGGCAGTAGTTTGTTTGGAGAAATTGCCTCATCCAATTGAAAAGTACTGTCACCCTGAAAAAGAAAAGAAAGCAGATTATTAAAGTTATTAAATTCCCAAAATTTTATTTGAGGTAAGCAAAAAAAAAAAAATATTCCTTACACTATCATTATCTTCAGAAGGAATGTATTTATCATCTAAAATACATTTCAGATCTGATACCTTTGCCACAGCTTCATCTACATTTTCAGTCAATAAGTCTACCAAAGCCAGTTGACAAATAAATTCTGCGGCTCTGGAAAATTTATCACACCAGTAAATTGAGAGTTTAAAAAAAAAAACTGATGAAAAGAAAGCATTATTGCCACACACCTTGTTGCAAGTCCCAGCTTGAGAGCAAGAACTAATTCAGCTGCTAGGTAGCATCTTGCTTCTCTAGGCATGTGTCGATGTAGATAATATCTACCAATCCACAATGAAGAACAGAGTGCATGATGGACCACAGCAGCAAAAGTTACAGGTGATTGCGAAAGTCTCCTATCCTGAATATTCTGTAAGATGCAGCGTAAACCACTAAGAACTAAATCACTTCCACCCTTTTTAGAACTACGATGAGAACTAGGATGCTTTGATGAGGGGAGAAATTGATAAGATGCCTCCAAAGTCTTAGCAAAGGCATAGCACCATTGAGTAGATGGTGTGGGAACACAACCGATAATATTCTCTAATGCCTTAGAACCTTCTGAGAAGGAACCAGTCCTTAGTGCCTGGAATGCTCTACTTGTGCAGTAGACTTTATTAAAGTAACTTATTTTGGGATGATCTTTTAAATTTTCCAAAACGTTTTCAGCTTCTAAAATACACTCTTTACTGACTTCAATAGTACTCATCAAACCTGACAAAGCTGAAACAGAATTGAGTAAATAATTAGATTGAAAGTAACAGAAGAATATCAAACAACATCATCAAAAACTCAAACCTTGAATCAATAAGTCATCCAAAGACATTTTTCTTGCAAATGTACAACAGACTTGGAAAGTTTTAGCAGCTGCAGAATTATGGCCCCACAAACAATACAGGAATGCAATATTGAGCAAGTAATCACCACTTGCTGCAACAATTGGGCTGGAAGTGTAGTCTGTGACACTCAAACCCTGTTGAAAAATTATCACATATTGTAGAAGTGGTTAGGTGCACAGGCACTGATTTAAGGCCAAATCACTGATTAAAATTACATTTTCAAGGGAACTATTCCAGAAATTCACTGCTTCCTCTAATAAATCCATGAGCTTCTGTTCTCTGTGAAGGTTCAGATTAGGAAAACTGCTTCGAACTTGACAAAAATCAGCTGGGTCACACACATCCTGTGGTTTCCTAACAGATGCAGGATTTGTACAGTAAGCTTTGACATCATTTACTTTGGTCTGGAAATCAACAAATAATAATAATAATAATAATAATAACATTATTATAAATGTATACAGTACCTCAGAATTTCAAGCAACTCACAAAGTTTTCATCAAAGTGTTTTTGAGCCATATTCAAAAACTTGGTATGATAGTGAGCCCCCATTGCACAAAATGCTACAGCTTGTTGATCAGGCTTCACCTAGGAATTCAAAAAAAATCAGCAATAATTCTATTAATTTGCCTTTAGGAGATTTTGTTTAAAGCAGCCCAACCTACTTGACTAAACCACAAGGAAGTAGATGCTGACAATATGTCACACCAGCTAACAAAATCATTAGTATAAAATAAAGCCTGTGACGCAAGAGCAGATCCTTCTAATAATTGCAGCGCTGATGGTTTGGATTCCTTGAGAGTTGCCCATGCATTTAGAATGACATCAGTTGTTTTCATCCTGAATGGAAAACAGTAAAGTAGTATTAGTTTGGTGAGAAACATGGAGAACAATGTAAGGCATTGAATACAAATTGAAGAAGACAGCTTTAGTGCGCTCAAGCATCCAAGAGTTATTTTACCTGTTGGCTGCATAACAAGAAAGTTCCCAAAGCATTAACTTAGGAACCAGATGTTTATAAAATGTAAATTGTGGGTAGATAGATTTAAGAAGAGTTTTGTCTGAGAGTAATTTGTCTGCTGTTCTACTCTGAAATATCAAAATAAAATTGAGTAACTTGTTCACATAGCAGAATTTTGCTCCCAAAATGAAAATTTATTAGATATTCAAGGAGTGTACTTACATCACTATTTCCATTCTGAAGCAGGACCCATTTGTCTTGCAAAAATGTACGTTGAGAAACATTGTACTTAAATTGTAAAATCACACCCAACACTAGGGCCACTTTGGCCTGATTTGTGAAAGTCAAGTTTTCATAACAAACCGAAAGCCTTAACAGAATGGAAGACTATGGAAGGAAACAAACAATAACATTAAGACCAATCAGTACTAATTAAAATGTTATTCAGTTGTGAAAATTAGTTTCAATACTAAAACATTTTGGGACAATGAGCCGATCTTTACCAGTCTTTGGGCATTTGTCATGGTGATTTCTTTATCAACTGTAAACAAATATCTTGTGAGCCACTCTAAGAATGTTAAACCATATTTCCAATTACTTGTAGAAAAGCATGTGAGTCCTAAATTGTAATACAAATCACCTAAAACAACAAATACCAAGGTTACGAAACAGGTAAACACCTTTAATGAGATTGAAATTAAGGATAAGCGTACTTACACAATGAGGCTTTAAGTAATTGCTCCTTAACACACTTCCCTTCTGATGCCTTGGTTATAATTAGTTCCAGATTATCACAGCTATCTTTCACCAGAGGTAAGACTTCTGACCATTCCTCCACATCCTTCTTACAATCAAAGCAAAGTGAAACAAATTTTTTGAGACTTTTAAATGCTAGAACTGAATCGCCTGTATATGGGCACACACTTCCATCTTCCGCAGTACAAGATGAGTGGCAAAATGACAGAAGCGACTGAAACAGAAAAGAAAAATATGTTAAATGAAATCAGTTCAAAATAAGATAATCAAAACATGTATATGACTTTGGCTCCTTTCTTACCTCAGATAAATAATGTGCAAACTGACCAATGGAAGAAAGTACTGCAAGGCTGAAAATTTTTTTTAAGTCTATTGATTTGGTTAGCTGGTCCATAGATGAAAAGAGACAACCACCAAAATGTACAACCCATGTAAATGACGACCGCATTGGTACTTTTTCATTTTTCAATATTTCTATCAAAGCCTGCATCTCACTGATGAAGGTACTTTCTTCAGGCGGGAGGTTGGTTGAGAAGTGGAAAATATTAAAAAGTCTTGAAATCACTTTGAAGCATTTCATGTGATAAGAATTATCATCAAAGCATGATGCAACAAATTTGGACATATCTAATAGAGTACAATGTGCATTTGCTGTGTTGCCTGCTTTCAAATCTACTGTCATGAGCCGTATCAGCGATGGTACAAGTTTTGAGAAGACCTTGTCGTTGTCACCACCCCGATCAGCAACCTTTACATGGTTTGTTTCAGAAAACAGTGAGAGCTTTCCTGACATAGCTCTTATAAAGGTAGAAATTTGTTTAGCATTATTCACATGCAGCTTTTCATACTTATAGGTCATACTTCCCATTAAATACAGGATATATATGAGATCACAATATTTAGCAAGAGAACTGACTCGTAGCATGAGATCCCACAGATTTAGTGGGGACAATTCACTCATGTGTCCTTCTTTATACACACTGTCGTTTACAGAAATCAACAAGTTGTACAGAATGACAACGCACTGGTCCATCTTCTTCATATCGACACGAGAAAAAGAAGAAGACATTTTCTCTAGAATTGGTAAAAACACATTCAGTATTTTCACCGCAGAGTGAATGTCGTTCTGAAATATAAAAGGGTGACAATCAAGAAAAATAAATGACTGATGTTAAGAAAATCTAAGAAGTTGCTTACACTTTTCTGAAACCTGCAGAGAATAGTTAAAATTGACTGTACTGTTCGAGGATTCGAATCAATTTTAACTTCAGCAGCAGTGTCAGATAAAATGGATTGGGCGCAATATAGTGCAAGTTGCACGATTTCATCATTTTTGGAGAGAATAGGTTCAGAATTGCCATTTCTTTTCATGACAGTTAAATTGGAGATTCGACACATGAGTCGATGTGCCATTCCAGAGCAGCCTCGCCCCTTCACAGCAGCCTAAAAAGTAAAATAAATGGTTTAAATTAGGAGTCAATAACAAGCAATCCCAAAAATCGTGGGTTAGGGTCCCATTGTACCTTCACTTCGGTAAAAATGTTAGAAACATCGCCACTGTCTAACTTCTTCAGAAGAGCTTCGGGAGCCATATTCATTATTTCGTAGATGAAAATGAACACAACATAATATCTCAGATACCCCTAATATCCGATGACAAGACAATGTGCCCCTCACTTGGAGCTGTCCGTTAACGAATCGACTGGACTCAAAGCAGTGTTGCCAAGTCCGCCAAGAGAGATTTCCCACGCGACGGCCCAAAATTTCCCATTTTTGCGAGAAATTTCCCATTTTGCCGTTTTTATTGTTTTTACGCCCAAATAATGCCTGTTATTACTTTAAAACGTTCCTTCACCTCTCAATCATTCCCGTGCTCACTTAAACACATGAAAAACTAACTAATTACTAGCTTTTTCGTCGGATGTGGCTGTGTTGGCAACTGTATCAGCGTGTACGGCGCGGTTATTCAAATGTAGGGCGGCAAGAAAAGGTTGAAAAAGACAATAGTGCACAAATAGCTTCAATTATTATTGCTTGGTCATAATCAAAACATAAAAACAAATGAAATAGTGCAACCTAAACAAAATAACACAAATTTTGGGTCATTCCCCAAATCATAAATAATATAAACATCAAAGAAGGAACTTAAAGTTTGAATAATAATGGCACTTATCATGGCACTTATCATGGCACTTATGACTTAGAATTAAGACTTAGATATGTGAGGATACATTTCTTGGTTGTGAAGTTCCAAGTGTTTTTTGGTGACTTCAAAACATGTGCAGTCGATTCCTTTGGCTTTGAAAGCGCACCGAGACACAGAGATAGCATTCATGCAAGCTGAACCAATCCTGTTTCTTTTCTTGCACCGCACATCAGTGACAATTGCAAATACTCTTTCACAGTCGCTGTTCGCGTGGGGCAGGGAGAGCACGCAGCGAGCAAGCTTGGAGAGCTGTGGAAACCGTAGCTGAAACAAAAGGAGACAGACAAGTCAGTCGTGTCGAACGCGAAGCGCGGCAGCGGGGAGTAAGCTTACGGGGAAAGAAAAATCTGCGTCTCACCTCGTCCGATAGAGTCTTCATTTCACCGATATCGGCCCAAGCTTCATCGGGCTGCATTTCCATGAGGCGCTTTTTCTCGGCTTCTGGGATTGCGTTGGGCATTGTACGCCACTCAAAAGCAAGTGCTTCTTCATCGAGCTGTAAGATATCTTTGAATCTTGCAACTAGCAGCCCGAGGTCTCGTATTTCTCTTCGAGACGCGCTGGACAAAGCAACGTTTGGATCCACAAATTTCATTTCATGAAATTGCATATCGTTCAAGGGTGGCAATCTGCTTGCAATGTCCTTTGCTGCAGCTACATAGAAATCAAGACATTTTTGTCGCACCACCTTGAAGCCATCTTTGTACTGTGGAAGTTCCTTCATGAACTTTTCACATTTAGGACCCATGTAGACCTCGTCCAAAGGCAAGTATGCTCGGGGGTCATCTATCTTTGTTGTCAGAATGCGCTCCACATTCTCTGGCATTAGATAATTTTGACACACATCCTTCAGGAGTTCGATTGACTTGTCCCTTAACTTGTGAATCATAACGCTCTTTGATTGGAAAAGGGCGTTGAACTGATTGAAAAAGTTCAAACTGTACTCAATGAAAAGGAAGTAGGCCCTGTTGAATGGGTTCTTTAAGTCATTCATAATCTCAGTAGCAGGTCTCTTTCTGTTTTGTGGCAATGAGGCCTCATCGAATGAAGCGGCCGTGAAAAAGTGAATCAGCACGTCCCACTGCTCCAACATACGCACGACACACTGATGGCGGCAGAGCCACCTGGTTGTGCAAAGTTTCAGTAGTTTATGCTTCTCTGCATTAAAATACTCCTGGAATTCCTCTAGGCCTGCCTGCCGCTTAGCACTACCTAAAACAAAAGAAATGATGTTGCTTTAAAAACAGAAACGAGTCCCCTGCGATTGCGACCGCTTGACCAAACCGTCAGGGAAGTACAAGTTGCAATACACTATAAACCATCCCACCCACCTCCAATGTAGTTGGTTACTCGTGAAATGAGCTCGTCAAGGTGAGGTGGCATTTTCCCGCAAGCAACTTGGGCCGAGCTTGCTGCTGAGTGACAGTTGCATCCCATAAGCATGGCATGGGGGACATCCGCACGCAGTCGCGACCACACCGAATTGTGCTCCCCGGTCATTGTATTTTCGTTGTCAACACCTAATCCAACAATGTTTCTCTTCGGGATCCCTTTATCCTGAAAAATATAAGAAACATAATTTTGTTATAGCACGGCGGTTTAATTAAAGACTTATGTCACAATGTAATTGACATATACCTCAAAACATTTCATGAGTGCTTCATATTGTTTGGCTGCAGAGCAGTCCCTGGCATCCAATGGTACAAGCTCCAGCAAAGCTATGATGGATTTTTTAATTCTAGGGGAGAAATACTTCACCATGACACACATGCTCTTGTGTGCTGTATGGTCTGTGCTTCCATCCATTAATACAGAGAATGGTACTTTCATTATATCTTCTATTATTTCCTCTACTTCCACTTTAGCTATAACATTTTCTATTATGGCTGTGCATTTAGTGCGGCCCAAAGTTACATTCTGTA